AATTGCAGTTCCACCCTCATCCGCTGGGGGCTGGTGTCAGAAGCGAGCAAATCCTCATTGACTCCCATGTTAAAAATACCAATTTCACAGCAGAAATAAACATGTTTACAGCCTGGTACCAAAACATGTTTTAGGTTTAAATGATCTAGTTTACATTCATGACAACTCTGAGGGGGGTAAAAAATTTTTCTCACTCTTCTGTTTAAGTGTATTAAAAGCCTAAAATTCTGTATAATTAATGAGCATCAGACCCACGTGACCACAGAGCTAGCTCCGTGGAAAGGCCTCAGTAGAGCCTCGGTCTGGCCTGGAAACTGCTCCGGGATTTTGAGTCTGTGTGTTTGTGTATTCTTTTTTGGATATTATTTGTGCAATTGTTGGACAAAATGACTTGCTGTGGCATTAATTGCACTAATAGAGCGTCCAAGGAGTCTCCACTTCATTTTTTTCGGTAAGTAAAATTATATTTATGTATTTTAGGTCACTGCTGAGCTGAGCTTAGATTTTAACATGTACTGTTTAACCTTGAAATTTAAATGTAATAGGGTAAAACCCAGTGCATTTAACACAATGCTGCACCTTAGAAAATGGGTTGAAATATAACATGTTGGTGGAGCTGGGTTCCGACTATCGGCTTGTGGAGCTCTGGGATGGAAACCTTTCCACCCGCTTCTCCCTAGCGGCAGCTCTGCGCATCTCAGACCGCAGCGGTGCTTGTCTGCTGTGCGGCTGCCGGCTTGTGGAGGTCTCAGAGACCTCTGTGTTCCACCCGGTTTTACCCAGCAGTCAGCCCGGCGTATCTCTGACTCAGAAGCTCTGGTGTTCCACAGAGTTAGCTCCGGTTGTAGCTAGGTTGCTACCTCCGTTAGCTTAGCTCCCACCTCCGCGTTAGCGTTGGGTTAGCTTCAGGTTAGCTAGTAGCTAGTTCGACCGGGTGTGGTCAGTTGATCCCAGCCTTACAGCCCCACCCTCAGCTCCTCCTCTCTTTCCTTTTATGGAATTGTCTCGGCTTAACGGAACCTGTGACACGGTCAAAATGGCGGTGGCGGTGGTGGCCACCTCCCATTTTAGCACAAAAACGTGTTATTGGAGTCTATGGAAACCCATTGTCCAATATTTATATGTCGATGGTGCTCACACACAAGAGGACGCAGTGGTTTGGGGGCTTTTTCATAAAGAAATGTGATGCTGATGTATTTTATGGAGGAGTGGACCCCTTCTGTGTGTCCAGATGCCCAATTATATTTACCTCACCTCTTTAGATGTCTGTCATCCGCTTGTCCGTTGGTTCTGGCCCTCCGTTAGTCAGTTATTTCAGAGATTTACTCTTATCTAATACATTATTAAATGACAACAGCGTCCTCATTTAGCTGATTGGTCTGAGACTCACAAACACAGATGTGCAGACGAGTAATTTACCCATCATATCTGCTGGTGCTGAAGGCTGCTGTCACGAGCAGAAGGTCATGTTAAGATGTTGGCTCTGGTCTGTATGAGGCGATGGCAGACGTTCTCCCTCTCTCTCTGGTTTATGTAAACTCTGCTATGAGCCGCGCTGCAGAAACTGGGAGGGGATTTCTGGATCATCACAGTGTTGGGGGAATCTGAAATGTCTCGGGACACCAGCAGATGGAGTTTACTTAGCAGCTACTGGTGTTTTCTCAGGTTCTTATTGTGCTACCAGACCGATCCTCTGGGTTCAGGGAACTATTTTAGTTATCTAGATGAGTGTGTGAGGCTGGACTCACTATGCTGTTTAAAGCTTTTTCTGAATGAAGTCCGAATGTTTTTCTTCTCATTCATACTGAGCCCATGCAAGCGAGAGCCGCATGAAGAACTTACAGCAGCAATAACGTGTTTCTGTTAAAATTACACACACGAGTGAGCCGCATCCTTAGCTCCCGCGTACATGTTTACACGAGCTTTAATGTGTGGGAAAAGCTGGCTGCAGGTGAGGTGGAGCATGAACAGTGACTGGGCTCTGCTACTATGTAGATGCTTGACTTGTTTCTCTCCTGCGAGAAAACCAGAGATAAGACCTCAGAGAGGTGGGGGGGGGGGGGGGGAGGAGGAGGAGGAGGACTGAGGTGCTTAGAGGCTTCCTGTGGACCAACTGGGACACAGGAATATGGACTGGACCTAATGAAGCGTGGCTGCCCCTCGCTGACTTCACAAGCCTGGGGGTAGGGGTGGGGGAAGGGGACTCAGGTCTGAGTCATGCCCACACGCTCACTGACCTCACACCAGGTGTAAGGCCAGCAGAGGAAGATCTGACTGCTTTACCTCACATTTCGCACCTGGCAGGACAAAAGGTTTAGGCCCGTTCACCTGTAGCGGAGTCACTAGAAGGACTAGTCTGTCAGCGTGTCCACACATCAGCTGCTGTCAGATTTACTCATTCATTCATTCATTCATTCATTCATTCATTCATTCATACTCCGACACAAACAACACAACGTTCAATAATCCAGTTGGGATTTAAAACCTCCAGACAGTTCTGACCTCAGACATTTTTATAAACATTTGGGTTCGTAATATAAAACCATTCATTTATGAGCTTCTCCTGTAACGAGGTTTCTGTGATTATTACTGCACAAACACCAAAGGACCACTAAATAAATGTCTCTTACCACACGTGTAAATAAGCGGATTCATCTCTTCATTCTTTGTTTGGCTTTCCAGAAGCCAGACCTTCTAACTTGTGATCTTTCTCAGCTTGGTGGTGAAATGTATTCATTTTTATTTCCATACAGCTGCCTGACTCTTTTATAAACTATAAATCTGCGGTTTTATGTTAGGTGCGACTCAGGTTGTGTGAGCAAAAGATCTCCTGTTTCAGCACGCTGCTAATAACAAAGATGTGTTCTGTCGTTTGTCACCCATTGACAAACGCTGGCTCCGTCCTGAGCTTCAGGTGACTTTTGTACCTGAATGATTCATCGATGAATAATTTGTCAGCTGCAACTGTAAACAAAAACATTCCTGTGAAAATATTCAGACGGAAATGTAGAACTGACAATCAAACTTTTTGTTATTATCAACTGAGCCGTGGCGACAGAAAAGCGAACGGCTCTTGGTTTGTAACCGGTCAGATGAATTAATGACTCATTGTCACACGCTCTTCCCTTCGCCTGTGACATGTTTCGCTCTCTGGAAAGGCTGTGCGTGTCACCGTGAGCTTCAGCTAACGCTGCCAAACTAACCCTGTCATTATGTTGTCAAACGGGGAGCATTAGTCATGTTCTGTGACCTTTTGGTCCCCCAGTCCCCTCCAGTTCGCCCTCCAGGTTTTCCTTTAGGTTTCCCTCATGTGTCCCCAAATCGTCTGTGCCCCTTTGGTCCCCAGCTCCCCATAGATTCCCTCTCTTTTGGTGCTGGTCTCTTATAGTTTCCCAAGTTGAAGATTTAGTGTTTTGTTTGTTCTGGTGTCTAATTTCAGATTTGTTAGTTCACTTATCTTTAGTTCTCTGTATATTTATATTATCTAGTTAGTATTTCCCTTTGGTACAATGTGTTCCTTCCCCTCTCTCCTGATCCCTTCAGCTCACACTCCACTCACACCTGTTACCTGTTTCCCTCTGTGTATAAAACCCTGTCTTGTCTCTCAGTATGTGTCGGTCCATTGTCTTTGTCAGTGCTATTCTGGCCCCCTCTAGAAACTCTAGGTCAGGGGTCCCCAATCCTGGTCCTGGAGGGCTGGTATCCAGCAGGTTTAGTGGTTTTTCTGCTCCAACAGACTTTATTCAGTGGTTGAAACACCTGTGCAGCAGCTCATCAGGCTCTGCAGAAACCTGTTAATTAGCTGCTGATTGAAATCAGGCGTGTTGAAACAGAGTTCAAACTAAAACATGCAGGATACCGGCCCTCCACGACCAGGATTGGGGTGCCCTGCTATAGGTTCTTGCTCATAAATGAGCTTTTGTTTTTGCCATTGTGTTTTCTAGACTTTAGGCTTGGCTTCCTGCCCGTTGGATATTCGCTCGTCATCCTAATGAAAATCCTTTTTATTTATTCAACCGCTCCTGCCTGAGTTGTTCTGGTATTCTGCATTTTGGGTCCAAACCTCCTGCTCTCAACGTGACAGCATTACGTCAGCGGGCGTCAGGCTCCAGTGCTGTTCCCTTAGAATAGCACCATTACACGAGGTCATCAGCATGAGCCGATACCTGGAAGTGTCCCGGCCGGGCCCGGTTCTAGAAACCGCTCTGGAACACAAGGAGACACAAAACACATCAGAAAATAAGGCCCATTTCCGTCATTCCCGATGTGTGTGCAAATATTCCTTTGCTTTGGAAGTCCAGTTGTATATTTCCTTATTAAATCCCAGCCCTCGTAATTCACAAGGCAGCAGGTGACTCCGCTTGTTTAGACCTGCATAAAAGTCTGAAATGAAGCTGGGACAGCAAATTAAATGTGTTGATTGATTGTTCTGGTCTTAAATATTCTAGACATCTTTAAAGGAACAGAAAGCTATGTTGGTAATTAATCAGAGAAGAACACATTAATATAAGTAATATTTCAGCATCTGGGTGGCATAGTGGTGCAGTTAGAAGCACTGTTACCAACAGCAAGAAGGTTGCAGGTTTAAAACCCGGCTGCAGGCTTTCTGACCAGAGTTTTGCATGTTTTCCTCGTGCATGTGTGTGTTTTCTCTGGGAACGAGGCTTTGCTCCCACTAGCTAAACACGTGAATGTCCACAAATCTCTCTGGATGAAATCACACAAACATCTCTGAGCTGCACCCCACATAAAGCCTGGTGTTTCCAGCTCCAATCCTTATTTTTTTTCCAAGTGCAGAATAGTCTTAAATCTTTTTTATGGTTTTAAAATAAACAACTTCATGAATTTTCCAAGTAAGAGGAAATGCCAGTGGAAAACTCAGCAGCAGCTCATGAATGCCCTGTTCGCTCCTAGCCCATAACTGGACACACTCTGCCATCTAGTGGTACAAAAGAGGAACTTCCACCTGGAGAATTAAATGCACTTTTCTCTCCTTGCAGGATTGTGATCCCCCTCTTTGATGAAGACACCGGTCTGCTCCTCCTCTCTGGCATGGTACGCTGTACATAAACATCTTTTTATTTACACTGTGATGATGATGATAATAATAATAATAATTTTTATTAAAAAGCACCTTTCAGGACAGCCCAGGGCAACAAGGCAGATACACAGAGCAAAAACAACACAAACATATGAAACAGAAATGTACAAATAAAAACGTTAAAACTGTTGTAGGATAATCTGAATAGGTAAGATTTGAGTTTGGATTTGAAGTTTGGAAGAGGATGAGTGGTGCAAAGTTCAGGGGGGAGAGAATTCCAGAGGTGGGGAGCAGAGCGGCTGCATGCCCCACTCCCCAAAGTGATGAGGCAGGTGGAGGGAGCTGAAAGTTGAGGAGCAAAGTGAGCGGACAGGAGTCGTGATGTGAATGAGTTCAGATATGGAAGATGGAGCCTGGTTATGAAGAGCTTTGAAAGTGATGAACAGAATTTTGAACTGTCAGTAGAGATGTTCAGTGTGAGGAGGCTGGATATAAACCA